GTGGGGTGTCAAAGTGATCGGAGGAGTATCTGATAGTACAAGAGTACCATAAAGACAGTCATTCCGGTTCCAATAGATGAGCAGGTGAGAGAGTGAGGAATTTGTCTCCCACGTCTCTTGAACAACCTCTGTACGGAGTACCCAGTACTCGGTACAGAACCGAATACTAGCGAGCTGGGTACTCTGTTACTATTGACGACCTTAGGGATGTGGTAGGCAAGTCGTTCTCGTAGCTCCATTGCGTTAGTGCAGCCGTTCGCTAGTGTCTAGTGCCTACTAATAGGGCCGACAGTTAGTCGCCACCATCGCAAGAATTATCCCAGCCGCCACCACAAGCACCGCTTATCATCATCATCTTTATCAGCTTGCAGCTCCTGTGGCCTGGTATGTAAAAGCAACCAGACCAGATCCACTCCACTAGCATTCAGCCCTGGAGCCACTACTGCGACCTTGCGACCTGCCAGCTGTGGCCCCCAATCCAAACCCTTCCCTACGTACTCCGCTTCCAGTTCCCTGGTATTTTTCTCCAAAATAATAATCTCTGGCCTCTCTAATCCGTTCTCTATAACCTTCACTCAACATCAACCCTTCTTATACTTTAACTCCCTGCCCCCATTTTTTCCTTCTTTGCTTTCGTCTGATCTCCTGATGGGCTTCATGATCTCGCCTTAGTCCCCCACATCTCGACCATCGCGAGCACCATGGCGAGCAAATTCTCCCTGCGCATGATGCCCGGCTTCCCAATGGCGTCACCCAGGCCTTGGTCCATGCGAGCTTTTTCCACTTGTCGCAGCTCAACTTTCGGAGTTCCAATCGCCTCCAGAACGTCCTCTTTGGTGTCCCAGCCCCTCGTCCAACAATCCTTCCGCCGCAGCTACGCCGATGCCCCGAAAGCCAATCTTTCCCCGGAGCCTAAGCCGAAGAAGCGCTTCCGATTCTTCGTCTGGACCTGGCGCTTGACCTATCTTTCCGTGCTTGCCACCCTAGGATATGTCACCTACCAGATTTACGAAGGTCGCAATCCAAAGGAGCAATTTGACCCAGATCCAAACAAGAAGACGCTTGTCATTCTCGGTGCGCACGCTTCTCCTCTCCTGTCCACGCAAAGCTGATACTCTGACACGCTTAGGCACCGGATGGGGCTCCGTTTCCTTGCTCAAGAACCTGGACACCGAAAACTACAATGTCGTCGTCGTCTCGCCTCGCAACTATTTCCTCTTCACCCCTCTGCTGCCCTCGTGCACCACTGGTACTATTGAGCATCGGTCGATCATGGAGCCCATCCGGAACATTCTGCGACACAAGAAGGCAAAGGTCAAGTACTATGAAGCCGAATGCACAAAGATCGACTATCAAAAGAAGATTGTCTATGCCAAAGATGACTCGGAAATCAAGGGTGACACTATGGAGACTGAGATTCCTTTCGACCTGCTTGTCGTGGGTGTAGGAGCTGAAAATGCGACCTTTGGAATCCCTGGTGTCCGCGAACATGCCTGTTTCCTGAAAGAAGTCGGAGATGCTCAAAAGATTCGCAAACAAATCATGGACTGTGTCGAAACTGCAACGTTCAAGGATCAGAGCCCCGAAGAAATCAAGCGTCTTCTTCACATGGTCGTCGTCGGCGGCGGTCCAACAGGTGTCGAATTTGCTGGCGAACTGCAGGATTTCTTCATGGAAGATCTACAAAAATGGGTCCCTCAGATCAAGGACGATTTTCATGTCACTTTGGTTGAAGCTTTGCCCAACGTGCTCCCCATGTTCAGCAAGCAGCTGATCGAGTACACCGAGTCATCCTTCAAGGAAGAGCATATTCAGATCCGCACAAAGACCATGGTCAAGAACGTTACCGACAAGTACATTGAAGCCGAAGTTCAGAACCCCGATGGTTCCAAGGAGGTGGAGAAGATTCCCTATGGACTGCTTGTCTGGGCCACCGGTAATGCTGTCCGTCCGGTTGTCAAGGATCTCATGTCCCAAATCCCAGCTCAAACGAAGGCTCGCCGTGGCCTTGAAGTTAACGAATACCTCGTTGTTAATGGCACCGAGAATATCTGGGCTGTTGGCGACTGCGCCGTAGCGAATTATGCTCCCACCGCTCAAGTTGCTGCTCAAGAAGGAACTTTCCTTGCTCGTCTTTTCAACACCATGGCCAAGACGGATGCCATCGAAGCTGAACTACGCGACTTGTCGGCCAAACAGGCTACCGCAAACCCAGACCAACGCAAAGTCATCTTAGAGGAAATCAACGAGCGCCAGCGCCAACTCCGTCGCATCAAGCAGATCGGCCCGTTTAGCTATTCACATCAAGGATCACTCGCATACATTGGCGCCGAGAAAGCGGTTGCGGACGTGTCTTGGTTCAGCGGGAACATTGCGAGCGGAGGTACTATGACCTATCTGTTCTGGAAGAGTGCCTATTTGAGCATGTGCTTCAGCAGTGAGTATCTTTCGTCATTTCCCGTCATCTTTCTGGTTATGTGGGTTTTCGCTGATATTTTGACTTGCTAGCGCGGAACCGCATCCTGGTTTTCTTCGACTGGGTCAAGGCCAAATTTTTTGGCAGAGATGTGTCGAGAGAATAGGCATAGTGTGACAAAAGCTGAACGTTGAAAGGGTATATGCGGTTCCGAGAAACAAGAAAGGATTGTATGCACTCGGCGCTCGCGCCTTGCTCTACGGACCATAGGATTTTTGGGTGGTATTAATGCTTCTCCAAAGGCAGGCTTGCCCGGACCGAGAAAACGACGGTTGTTTTAACTTATAGACGGGCCCTTTGTATGGGCCGAGCACTGTATGGTACCTTATTGTTTGTTCCTTTACACTGAGTTATTCATACCTTGTTATTGGGGAGGCCAGATGCTCGTCTGCCAAACTGGGTCTCTTGGAGATTCGAAAGATGTAAACACGACTATGTCCAGCAAGATCTAGTAGCACTTTACTCCGGCCATTTTATCAATCTACAAAGATGCATTGGGGGTTGGGAACTTTCTGGCTAGACATCTTATTCCGCTTCGCGGCCGTCCCGTCATGTGTATTTCTAGCCTCTGTTTCTTCTTCCAACTCGATATCCCAGACCCTGACCGGAAAACGCATTGCGGTGCATAATACATATTTTCCCGTCTTCACCATAGCTTATCTCCTTCTTTCCTTTTTGCAGCCCTGCCACCCCTTGCACTCTCCCTTTTCAGGGCTTTCAGCTCCTCTTCAGTGATTGGTGGTTTGAAATACAGACTTGCGCTTTCGCCTCCCTTCACCAAATGGCTCAAATATCCGCGGTGTTTCGCGTCCCTATAATATTCCAACTCTTTCCGTGAACTCGGATCAGGGAGTCTGTACGGGAAACCCATGCCCCTGGCACGGTTCTCGACCAGCTCGGACCCTTCGACGGCAAGGTTAGGGTTCTTCAGGGCGACCGGATCCCAGCGCAGAGAGAGGAACGGATGGGTTTGACTGCTCTTTATGCGGCGTATCGCTTGAGCGGTATAAAAGCGCGTCGTCACGGTTCCGCCCAGAGCTTCCACTGCCGCTATGGCAGATTGCGATGCCCTCGAGACGACGATATGAATGGGTGTTTTGAGCTCCGAGGCCCCGTTTCCGAGCAGTTTCACGCCATCTTTGACGCGGCCCAAGACGCGCGAGGAGCAAAGTTCTTTGAGAGTGATGGGTCGGGAAGGATCTAGGCGCCCCTGGTCGATCCAGGATTGAATTTTGTCCAGATTGATGGGGGACATTTCATTGGCAAATCTGCGAGTCATGCATCAGTTACCACTTTCCCCCATGTCGGAGGCGAGAGCAGACAGACAAATTCTTAAACCCATATTTTCCGTGAACGATGTGTTCAGGTGTTTGCCCACCGTTGAAACCTGCGGGGACTTTGCTATGCTGTTTCTGCCCGTCCGAACCGCGACCAGATTTGCCTCCTTTGCCAGATGCGGGACCTCGTCCACGGCGGATCTTCTTGTTATAGGCGCCAGGCCGATCGGAAAGGGAGGTTAGGATCGAGGCATATCGGCGTTGGTGATGTGTTTGGGACTGCGTCACGAGAGAAGGGAGGAACAACGCCGGGATGGATGAGTTTGCATTTGCGGGTGTTGGTATGATAATGCTAGAGCGCAAGATCTTCGGCGGCGAGAGCCGCAAGGGCAGTCGAGGCGGCATCGGGTTGTAGAAGTGAGTTGCCCCTTCGAGGCCGGTGCTTATGATGGTTTGATTTGAATGCACTACCTCGTATAAGTTACTTAGCTCGCTAGGTACCGTTTACGGCTGCCAAGTACAAGATGCCAAGATGAGTATTCAAAACTGCTTGCGGCTCCCCGTTTGGGACGAGGGTGAAGCCGCCCTGTGCTCACCCCTAGCTCACGCGAGCAGGGTGTGGTTCACCCGTCTGCCACTACTGTACAAAGATGGGTTGAAACCTGCACGCACCTCGTCCCGAATCGGGACGTGGATCATGCTGCCCTATCAAGCCTGCCGTCTCTGGCGATTGGATCCGAGGGACCACCTTTGCAGCAGCGGCAATATCTAACCAAGCTCAGCCTTATTCAGCCCTGCAGGGGAATCGAGGGTGCAGACCTCGACGGGGCTACTTTATTCACACCTGAGCAACGAGCAAATCATGGTTCACATCTAAATCAATGATTCTATATCATGCCCCTGCAGGTAGGCTAGCGGGTACTTTCTGTATTGCAAAAGGTATCACGCCAGATCCGCACACTGATATGTAAGTACAGAGAAATTCTTTGGGTCCGAATCCTTCCAATCGTGCTATTCGGCGCTCGACAATGAAGCGAGCCCACATCCCACGAAAATGAAATTTGCAAAGGCCCAAAGCGTAGGATTGCGTGCTTGCTTGCATTTTGTGCATCGTCAAAGAACGAAACTCGGAAAAATCGAGAGAAAAATTGCAGTGAGTGGATTTGACATTATAATGGACCGTAAGAGATCTGCCGTACGATTGAGGATTGTCACCTTTCAGATTGTTAGCATCCGTCGACAGCAGAATGGCGGCAAAAGAAAGTCCTTCGTTTGATGTCAGCACCTCTCCTGATACAGCTAAACCGGCCAGCATGAAGAATGATGATGCTGCTCTGGAACTCCTTACCTCAATTGGCGATCTGGAGCAACCAACGGACCCAAAGTGTAATCGACGGCTTCTGCGACGCATCGATTACCACATAATACCCCTGATCTGTACCGTCTACTTTCTGCAATACCTCGACAAAACCTCCATCTCCTATGCAGGTGTCACTGGGCTTCGAGAGTCGGCCCATCTGGTCGGGAATCAATTCAACTGGGTGGCTTCCATATTCTTCTTTGGCCAGCTGACCTTCGAGTTTCCCACCATCTATATCTTGCAGACGTTCCCACTAGCCAAATATGTCAGTATCAATGTCGTTATCTGGGGCACAATTCTGGCTGCTTTGGCCAGATGCAAGTCCTTCGCTAGCTTGATGGTGTGCCGCTTCTTCTTTGGGCTGCAGAGGCGACGATAGTCACTGCATGGGTTGTCTTCACCAGCGGTACAGAAAAGAAGAACAGGCTTTCCGCGTGGGCATCTGGTTCTCCATGTGCGGGTTTTCCCAAATTTTCGGAGGGTATTTTGATATGGAATCGCGAGACATGTTGGGGGAGACATCCATGCCACCTTGAAGGGGTGGCAATAATCTTCGCGTTCCTGGGACTTCTGACCGTCGTGATCGGCGTGCTTTTCTGGTTCATCCTTCCAGATTCCCCCGCATGGGCGGGCTTTCTTTCGCAGGAAGAAAGGTTCAACATGTGGAGCGTATCCGAGGCAATGAACAGGGAATTGGTTCCAAGACATTCAAGTGGGAACAATTCTGGGAAGCGCTCGCCGACATCAACACCTGGCTGTATGAGTTTTGGGTCTAGCCGCCAATATCAGTTGAACCTAGGAACGGATGTGTTGTGTGATGTCTATGAAGGAAAGAAGATACTTAAGCAGCAGAGGGTATAAATACCCTGGAGGTGTCACGCTACCTTGTGACTATCGTTGTCACTACCTTGAGTGACTATCCATGTCACCACCTTTGTCACTGCCCTTATCACTAGGTAGTGAATCCAACTATATCCACAATTCTATCGCTACCAGCTTCGGCAACAGCCTTGTCTCCCGGATGGGCTATAGCAAGTTCAACTCCCTCCTGCCGGTCACGCCGCTTGGTGCGTACGAAGTCGTCATCCTTATCGGCGTGACTTACTTGGCCATGAAAACAAAACAAAGACTATGGTTCTACGTCATAACCCACATTCCCTCTTTTTGTCGGCGCAATCCTATGGCAACGACCGAAAAGACTCCTGCGCTGATTGGCTACTATCTGAGCGGAGGCATCCCCGTTGGCTGGACGAGGATCCTTGGTCGCCAAGCGAGCAACGTCGCTGGATCTACCTAGAAAATAACAGTCACCTGCATCGGAACCATCGCGTATACCGTCAGAAACATCATCTCTCCTCAAACCTTTCAAGCGAAGGACGCCCCACGATACGTGCCCGCGAAAGTCTCAATTGTGATTCTCTATTTCTTGATCACAGCTGACTTGTACCTTATTCGAATCGTGTATGTTCGACGTAACAAGAAGCGTGACGAGTAAAAGGCAGCATTGGGTGACGTTGTGGTGGAGAAAAATCACTAGTTCCGAGACTTAAGAGTTTCGATACTCGTTGTGAGAAGGGCTCATGAACAGCTTTTGATCTGGTTGGTTAATACCAGGTCGCCATCGTATAATTGGGAGACGGGGACTAACTGCTTTCAACGCATGTCCCTCTTCAGGAGAGTATCGAATGTTACATTGCAGCAGAAAAAGACGCTTCATCAGACCGAGCCACTTCTCCGTTGGGCTCAGTCGCCATCAAGAGACTAAAGTTTGTCTCTATTCACTCGTTGATGTTCCATTCAAGCCAGCCGACGCCTTTGCGACCGTCATTAGTGGTGATTGTCGCCCAAGAGCGAGGAAACTTTGCAACTCGTCCGTCCTTGGCCATGAGGCATAGAGGTGCATGCCCAATGGGTTTCACGTAGAAGGTGAGCGGAAGCGGAGCCATCGTGATCGTGGTTGAGATGCCCAACCCATTTGTTGCCATTTCTGCTGCTGCTTTGACGTCGGTCATTTCAATCAACGGCTCCCCTTCTCTCTGGACATACCCTACACCGAGGTGAGGATAGTCTCCTCCTCGGGCTTTGGCATGTACAAGGTGGCTGTGTGTCCCGTCGTCGAAGTGGAATGCAGTCCAGACCCAGTCGGCCGACCACCAGTCGCGAGGACCCCAAGAATGGTCCCGTTGGCCTCTTGCCTTGGTAAAGGTGAAGGTGTGGTCGTCCCATGAGAACGTACCGGTGACCTTACAGGGAATCTCGTATCTGGTTGCACGGCGCCATTTATAAGGGTGGCCGTCTGTTTCGAAAAGGAGGTCCATCTGGACATCCACTGGCCGGCCGTTTCCATTTTGCAAGATTGCCGCTGGATCGTCAAATGCCACTCCCTTTCCCTTCACAGTGATACGATATTCGTTGAGGGGCACTTCTGCTTTGTGTGTGGCCGTATATTCGGCGCCATGGACTATAAGGTCCTTTCCCGGGTGAGGAGCCTCAAAATCGATTACTCCGACCGTGGGTATCTTTGGTCCGCAGATTAAAGCATGGTACCATGAGCCACTCTGGTTGGGAATGACTCCGAGCCTCGCCCACACCCCGACTTCCTGCTCTGCGTCAACCACATCAAAATACCAGCTTTCGTTGTGAAGGGGGTGGTCACTGAACGGATGCATCTCCTCGTCTGATGCATCTGGCTCCAAATGGGGGAGGGGAACTGGAGGGGGCAGCACCTCAAGCGCCTTCGTATCAGCGACATGTTCGCAGCTGCGCTCGAACATGGTCAGAAACAGGTCGTCTCCTCGGGTTGTTCTTTCCACGAGACTCGCCGCCGTGATGGCTTGACGCATTCCAGTGAAACTGTGTATCTGAACGCCCGCCTTGCATTCATGAATGCTGATCGGGCAAGGCGAGCTCACAGAGAGAGCCTCGTGATAGATTTTCAACAGTTCATCTCCATGCTCCCGACGAAATTCAGGGGTTATAGCTAACCCCAAAAAGTATGAGGGATCATGAAGGATGGGGCCCCAATAGCAGGTCTGCCAGTCCACCAAGGTTAATGGCAGGCCTCCACTATGTCCAAATAGGATATTATCCAGTCGATAGTCTCCATGGACGAGCCCTGTAGGAGCTGAAGTCGAGTCTAGGGCGGCATGGTACGCGTCAAAGCTGTCGATGAATTTCTGGCAGATGTCGCGGTGTTCTGGCTTCATGCGATCTCCATATCGCTCCTTGAAACGATCCCAGTATTCCAACATCTGTTCTGCTGCCGACCAGGCTTTTGTCCTCTTCATCCATCGGTGCTCCTCCAAAGACACATGGTTCAAAATCAACCCATGGAGTCTACCAAGCTCCGACATGGCTAATTTGGCCTCTTCGAGTGTTGCTCCGCTAATGTCACAGCCGACCCTTCCAGCATTGTCACTCATCAAAATGACGAATTCTCCGGATGCTTCATCCCTTTCTACCCTGTAAACTGTTGCAATCGGCCCTGTTGTCAGAAGCGGAGCAATCTCTTTGTAAAATCGGACCTCTCGCTCGTACAAACCAGAGTTGACCCCGAAAGATTTGCAATCTGCATCGAGAGAAGCCATTTTCGCCACCACCGAGGCAGGCCCTGCTCGGGTCTTTGTGCCATACTCGAGCTGAATGCGGTACACTTCGCCAATCTGGCCAGTTCCAATTCGGGTAGACTTAGCACTGACAACGTCAAAACCAAGGGCCTTTGAGAGCCACTGGGGCGACAATTCAAAGATTGCGGCCACCATGATTGCGAGATTGGAGTTGGTTTTGGAAAGTGTTCCACCGAGGGGAATCTGAGCCCCTTTTAGAGGTGGCTCTCCCTGCGAGCCTGGCGTGGGAGCCAGGCGGGGTCACGACTTTGGAAGTGTTCGATCCCATCGCGAAGCAATTTGCCTAGGATGTGGTCGTAGCGATTTGCGGGGTTCGTTGTCAATATCATGGCCTGCCGAGGCCGAGGTATGCAACCGATTCGACAGGTGAATGTAAGCAGGGGCAGGGAACAGGTCCAATATGGGGGTGTCTCTGACTGCGACCTATTGACTCAGGAGAGATGGGATGAGCTGTTATTGGTATACATACAAGCCGAGGAACTCTAAGAACCCGCGAAACTGAGACGCCGTATGCTTAGTGTGAATGGCAGGGATGAGTGAATAGAACGTCGTTTACGCGACATATTGATTAAACGGAGAGAAGCGGCAAAATGGCATCGATACAAAACCTCGAAATGCACGTGGTCATGGTCTTGTATATAACCCGGGCGTCGAATCTCCAGCAGTTTTCCTTTCAGTGAAAACAAGGTGCAGAGGTGGGCATGCAAGGGTAAATCCATCGGTCATGTCTCGAGTGAACTTGGCTGGATCCTCCCCTTGAGCGAGAGTGAAATCGTACCGATGCACTATATAAGCTGTCACATATCGAAGCTCCATCAAAGCGAGCTGTTTACCAATACAGCTATAGGGACCTGGTATCGATAGCGTACTGTCAGCTCACCGTTCTCCGAATGAGTCGTTTCATCATATGCTATGGATTGCTGGACTGCAATACCACGACCTTGGACATACCGTACGAGAAGGGGACAAAAACCGAAGCATCCACAGTCAGTTCAGGTTTTGTGGTCCATCGCTCAGGGATAAATTCCTCTGGTCTTTTGAAATTTCTCTCGTCTATAATAAGAATTAGAACGGGTACATTGGCTCCTGCATCGGAGTTGTCGTGGGAGTGGAATTCACCTCTGAATAGCGTGTAAAATGGAACATATACAATCGTGTTCCCAGGAACAAAAGTTTCCCCGATCATCATGCCTTCAGGAGGAGTCAACCGCTGGACCCCTGAAGGCACAGGAGGATGAAGACGCAAGGCCTCGTTGATGACGGCGTCTAAATGCTTGCTCTTGGCCAATGTGGCAGAATCAACCTCTCCAGACTCGAACAGTGGGTCAATTTGTTTTCGGAGTTCAGTGAGAAGATGTGGTTCCGTTGCAAGATGGAAGAAAAGTGTGGTCAGAGTGGAGGAGGTAGTGTCGCTGAAAGAGTCTCAGTTAGAACAGCCTGATTTACCGTAACTGCCGATGTTGCCAGGGAGAATTCATTACCTTCCAGCAACGACAATTAGATAGGCATCTGCCTGAAGGTTCATCAGGTTTTGGGCCGTCTTCGGCTCTTCCTTTTCATATTCTTCTAGTAGATAAGAGAATACATCCGGCTTATCGGGCTTCATCTGATGTGGCTTGTGTTAGAGACAGCACATTCTCCTGTGCATCGAGAAAACTCACATTCATTCTCTCATCGACTTGGTTGTTCACAAACTTCCAGAATCTCTTATGCTCGAAATTCAGAATCGGAATCGATCTCATGATCGGGGCTGTCCAAACAACGTGTTTAAAGTAACCTGCCATGGTCATGTTGGTCTTGAGAGAATTCATGAAGTAATGTTTGACGCCATTTTTGACCATGTCAAAAGACTTTCCGAATGCGAGGTCTCCCATGACATCGAAGCTGTAAAAGTTGAACCAATCGGTTACATTCATTGGCTTGTCCTTTTGAGCCTCAATAGCAGTCATCAAACCCGTAGTGTATGTGACTACACGGGGCTCGTAATCTCGAAGACCTAGGTGTCCTGGCGTTAGTCTACAGCGGCCCACGTTTCCCGGAGCACTTCAAAGGAGGGAGGGAGGAGGGGGGGGGGGAGTACTTTTGGCACCAAATCCTCGATCCCAGACCTTCCTTCGCTGAGAATGCTCTTGCTTATCTCGGCTGTTTTGCAGAGCCACTCGTGGTCGCATTCCGTTGTACCAGGGTCCTTTTGTGCAAGGGGTCTGTGCTGAATTGACTGCTTGAACCGCGCGGGGGTCAGCAATAGACAATTCCATCGGCCCTGATAAAATGTTAATGCTAGTTATGTCTTTCATCTTGCGCCGGGAGGTATTTACCAAGTCTTACAAAATCTCCGTATTGTCTATGCAACGCCTGGACTTCTTCATAAAGGTGCAATTTGGACCTGAAGGAAAGTGAAGTTGGGTATATGGTAGACAGCCGTGCCCAAAACGGACCGGGAAATCTGGAGAGTCGATGGAAGAATCCACGATATATCAAGATACTAGTGAACGTGCCCACTAGAAAGCAAATCCCTAAACCCGATACGTGGAGAACTGCGAGGGGAACGGCCTTGAATGATGGCGCATAGGCAGTTCCATATCCAACGAGCAACAGTTGTGTGCTGAAAAAGGCCGAGATTAAAGCCGGCGCAGATGTGTCCCATTCGCCATGGCGGAACAGCGTCAGATGAGCAATGACGCCCAACAGTGCTGCCCACAGAAATCTGTGCGGTGACTGCGGCAGTGTAAGGAACTCCATGATCTGAATCTGGTAGAAGAAGGGCTTTCCACTGGGACGACCACAACAACAGACTGGGATTGATAGACAGGGATCGACAGACATTAATACAGCTTCACTTAGCTACAGTAAGGGGTGCCGAGGCAGCGTATCTCCTATTCGGTCGACAATGGTTGACATCGTGCATCTGACGTCCGCCTGCAGGGCCGCTCACCACTACCCTGACATGGCATAGAGCGTCCTTATCAAAAGGCCAATTATGGCGTACTTATCGTGTCAGCAAGACTGGAGGCCTGGGGCATAAAATGCGGGGGGGGGGGGGCGAGGCTCAATTTTATCCGAGGATAACACGAGAAGACGAAAACATACCTGCCTTGGCAGAAGCCCCATCCCACGCGACGCAGGAAGCCTGTTTTTGATGAAGCGAACACCGAGCCGGTATCGATGACGTTGTTGGGAGAATGTAGCCCTCGTGATGGTTCTCGAGATGATGCTGAGAGGTGAGATCCCGCACACACATTTCTTTCGACGTCGTGTCACTGCAAGCTGTCGAGCATATTATGCATCGTGGCTTAAAAGGGATCCTCATCCTAACCGATCCTGTTACTGCTAAATGGCCAGATCACACAAATCGGGTACTTAAGGGGAGCAAGGCTGATGGCCCCTATTAAGCCTCGGCAAACCTTCACAGTACAGCCAAGTGTGGTTGGCGCGTGAAAGCTGGGAAAGGCTAGGAAAGGCGTCATCCAAGCCCTTCCAAGAGCTTCTGCGGTGAGATCCAGAAGAATTATGGCAGTGTCTGGAAATTAACATGCGCTCAGATGGTAGAGGGGTCCTTGGAGGGCAATATCGATGGCCATTGTGGCTTGATGGTCTGCGCACTCATGCAGAGTATATGCCAAGACCGATGGTGTATCCTCGACAGAGTAACCTTGTTCGCAATAGTCGCTTCGAGAAGGCTCGGGAGAAGTGACGGAATACTGGGGCTGAAGTATCGAGCATTATTATTACCTCGTCTGGAGCATGGGCAAGTATGGGCAGGTATGGGGGAAGGGGGTACTTGGTAGTAGTACAGACTCGCCGAGTACGAGGTACTCAATACCCTGCACTCGTACCGGGTACCGAGTACTCTCCGCCAATGGGATTGAGTCGAGATTCTCCCTCCAGCCACTCCACGTGCACACCCTTTTTGTTCCCTGCCACGTTAACCCTGCGTGCCTTGTCCCCGTGCGGCACCTCCTGAAGAACCATCTCCGTTCCTCGTTCGAGTCCAACATCTCTTCTCACCCAACAATGAGTCGGTGAGAGCGCTCACGGCCGGATGATATAACCACTGTGTTGGATTGGCATCGCCTATTCACTGATTTATCCAAGCCATGACCACGTAGGAGAATCTCCTGCGCGCCACATTTCCATCATCTACCCAGAGTTCAGGCATAATGGGTCCCATTGAGCTGAACAAGCGACGCATCATCTTGCTCCTCGCTAGCATACTCGCATTCTATATTGTCTTCCATGGGCTTTCGTCCTCCAGTGGCGACTTCCGCGATGTCGCTTCCCAGATCCCCATCCCCGGCCATCTAAACCCGACCGAGCATAAACTACCTCCATCAGCGCCCGATCCAGACGCGATATGGGATTTGGAACCCGACCCATCTCCTTCGCCCGCGCCCACGCTCGAATCCGAGCTCGAGCCCGAGCCCGAGCCCGAGCCCGAGCCCGAGCCCGAGAACGCAATCGACACCGAGAAACCTATCCCTCCGACTTCTCAACCTGTCGAGCACTTCGATTTACATCCGATCGCACAGCTAATGCAAGAAGCCGACGCCGAGTGGCGAGCCTACGAGACGCAGATTTCGGCAACATTCAGGCAGACAGTGGAGAAATATAGAAGCAAATATGGCAGACATCCTCCCCCGGGATTTAAGGACTGGTATAAGTTCGCCAGAAAGAGGAACGTGTTCAATATCGATGATTTCCAACAAATCATGGATGACCTGCGCCCCTTCTGGGCTCTGAATGCGTCAGAGATCCGCATTCGTGCGGCGCATATGTGGGAAAACCCGGACTTTGGTGTATCGGTCATTCATATCCGCAGTCACAAGGTTGTAAGGGTGGATAATCCTAGTTGGCGATCTGAAACTATGGAGAAAGTCATCGAGAAATGTATCAAATTCCTTCCGGACATGGATATTCCCATGAACAGGTTGGATCAACCGCGCCTCATCGTGCCTTGGGAAGATATGCAAGAGCTGCTGCAAACAGAGTACCAGACGCGCATCATGGCGCCGGAAGTTACCGACAGCTTTACGAAGAATCAACCAGAGCTCCTGGATATGAGTATCGAAGACAAGGAACTCGACCACTCCACGAGACTAAGTGATGATTGGTTCTTCGCCCCGGGTCAGCAGTACATGAATCTCGCAGCCAAAGGTTGTCCGCCAGAATCCCCTGCTCGGTCGAACATGACCGTAGCAGAAACGGATATGTTGTACAAAGAACCCACCCTTGGGTTTGTGAAGAACTTTAACCTCTCGACAGACCTCTGCACCGTGGGTCCCACTATTCAAGATCTGCATGGCATGTTGTATTCCGCAAGCAGCATCATCGCCTCGCACAAGCTTGTTCCCATCTTCGGCGAATGCAAGGTTAGCGTCAACAACGATATTCTCTTTCCAGCAAATATGTATTACCAGCATGATGAGCGATATGACTACGACGATAAGGAAGATGTTGATTGGCGGGACAAGCGAGATAATACCATTTGGCGCGGCGTCACTTCTGGTGGTGTCCAGCTTGAGGATAACTGGGACAGGATGCACCGCCAGAGACTCGTTCAACTCTTCAATAGCACACACTTGTCGGAGACAGGGAAAGAGGTCAAAGTTCTCACAGAAAAAGACGATGGCCCTAGCAAAGTCAACACCACCTACGAACTTTATGGTCGATTCCAGCCCTCACAGTTCGCCGACCGACACAGCGACATCGGATTCACTGAACCGATGTCCTGTCTGCCGAATTGTTCATTCTACGACAGCGTGTTCTCTTGGAAGCCGCAGGTTTCGCTCACTTCACAATTCAAATCGAGATACCTGATCGACGTCGACGGACACTCTTTCTCAGGCAGATGGCATGCCTTCCTTCAAAGCAAGAGTCTCGGACTCAAAGCTACAATCTTCCGGGAATGGCACGATAGCCGACTTTTAGCATGGCGACATTTTGTCCCCGTCGACAACCGATACGATGACATTTACGGTCTTCTGACATACTTTATTGGGTATGGCAAACCCTACAAACAACACGTCGACGAAGGCGGAGACTCGAATCCCCGGGTTTTTGTCGCTGGGCATGATAGAGAGGCGCAGAAACTCGCTCGACAGGGTCGCGAATGGGCAAACAAGGTGCTCAGGCGTGAGGATATCGAGGTGTACATGTTCAGATTACTTCTGGAGTATGGACGATTGATTGATGACAATCGGGACTTTATCGGTTACTCCGGCGATGGCAGTGAATTGGACAAGTTCGACGCGGGCGAAGATGACGAAGGCCGCTGGGGTTTCGGAGGGTGGTGAAGGTTGCTGGGCGGAGATTTTCGAGAAGAATGCCGGAGACCGCATTCTCTGAACGAATGCTCATCTCATCTTCCGCATAAAGGTTTAGATGTGCTGAACAGTGCAAAACCGGCAGCAGTGAAGGAGAACCTGGAGAACCCAAAAAAGAACTGATTTTTCGATCAGGATGAATCTATTGCTGGGAGTTGCACCACGCCGGAGCCTCCACGGATATCCGCCCTTTGGACAAAGCAAAACGCGGACTATGGAAGGACACAGCCAAAGTGTGGAGGAGGCCTTGGTGGTCGCTATGTACCACACACCCAACGAGCGCACGACTAGTTTCGTTGCCTTTTTTTTTTCTGGCTGGCCTACTCTCAACGGTATAGCGGAGGCAAGGAATTTGGGGCAATCCTATAGACCCGAAATGGGCATCTAATAAAACCGTCAGCTAGGCGGCTGACGGGCAGGAAGGAATCAGGCTGTGCGAGAACAAGTACGGCGCACATAGATCATCCTCGACAGAGCGTTAGCGCTTAACAAATTTGTATATCACGAAGCATTGAAAGATGCACGACAATCAAACCAGAATCTTCATAGTAGGGGGGTCGACCAGTGTCCGGAGTGTATCGATTTGGGCGTGGGCTCTGCTACTTCTTCAACTTCTTCTTCAGCCGCTTCTCGGCCCGCACATCCTTCTTCAACCGCGCGTCCACAATCTTATATTTGCCCTTGACGCCCCTCGGTCGTCCCGCAATACCCCTATTCGCACCCCGCGCCACGACCAGCTTGACCTTCTCCTTTGGCCTCCCTTTCTTGGCCGCCCGGGCCATCATTTTCGAAATGGTTGACGCCTTGTCCTTTTCACTGACGCCCTCGTCTTCGAGCAACAGCGCAGATTTCTTGCGGAGCTTCTCCAGGCGTTGAGCGGCTTTCATCTTCTTCCGCCCTTTTGCTTCGAGCACCTTCTTGATGGGTCGAGCATTCAACGCCCGCATCTTCTCCTTTATCGCCGCGGCGGCGGCCTTCGTGATCGGTCTCAGGGGGCGAGAGTGTCGGTCTTCATCATCCAGGAACCATTCGGGAAGGCCGTCAGTGTCGCGGAAGGAGTATTTGTTGAAATTATCATCGATAAGGTCCTTGGATGTGGTTTGCTTGGTCGCAAGGGAGTGCGCGAGGGTCATGGCTTCAGCAGTGATTATATCGATGTCTAGATGACCGGTTGCAGTCAATGGGTCTTCGGGACGTGCAGGGTCTGCGGTGGAAGAGATGGTGGTTCTAGGTGTAGTTTCAGGCTCGGACTCCGGTTCATCTTCTGCTATTTGACGCGAGAGTCGTTGTTTCTTCAAGGTTGAATTGATAGGTTTGCCTTGCTGTCCTTTTGATGCCTGAGCTCTTATAGCGACAGAGTCTGCTTGATCCGAGGATTCGTCGTGCATCTCAATCGCGCTGTCCTTGTCCAAGTCATCC